CTGAAATTCAAGATATTGCCTCTTCTTAATTCGTCTCTTGCCTCTTGTATATGTATGATGAGAACAGAGCTCTTTTAAATTAATAGCAATTTTATTCTTAGACTCCAGTGTAATCATATGAAGTGAGTTGTTATACTTCTTCGTCCATTTTAGGTAAGAATTCTGTAATATCGAACCTTTGCTTGCGACACATATCTTCAAGTAAGGTAGGGCCGAAGCCCCACAATAATAGTAGGTATCTTCTGTATTCAGTTAGAAATTTTATTGTTCTTCCTGCGTTTGAGAACTTGGATTAATCTTTACTAATAGATTAACCAGAGCTGGTAGTTCTACATCAATCAATGAATCACTTGATGGGGTTTTAAACACGCAAGGAGTTCATCAAAGTCTGCTCAAAGCCTTGTAGCGCATTGCTGAATTTATCTTGATCCTTGTTAAGTTTATCTAAACCTCTCCCAATCTCAGCTTGATCTTTAGCAATTTTATCTTGATCGCGGAGAATTATCTTAGCGTCAACTAAATCTTCAGCTGCTTTTTTTTGGTAAATACCTCTATTCTTTCTGCACACTCGCGTGATTCTTCTAAGTAAAATGTTACAATGATTGATCTATAGTGACTAAGATCAAAAATCTGCTAATTTATTGCTGATTATTTCTATGGCATCAACAAATTTATTAACACTTATTTCTTTTTTTTCTCATCAAGATAAGACGCTAAGTTAATTAATACTTTATTTAAGTCTTACCCTTCTTCCTACATCCAATAAAAGGTGAAGAGAAAGAAACAGAAGACATGTTAAAAAAGCATGCCAAGAGGAACATAGGAAAAAAAATTTTTCTATTATCCACCACAGGCAGTCTATTCGCCATCTTTCTTGCCTTCAGGTGCGTTGCTACATAACGCTAAAGCGCCGACATGATGGCAAAGGCAGCACCATTATTCCCACTTCTCTCATATTTGTAATGCCTATCGTTCCTTACAAGGCGTTGTTAGCAAATTCTTTCAACTTGCACAACTACTCCAATTCCTTATTATTTTTATACAACATGTTAAATATCGAGGTATACAGCAGGTCATGCAACTTGGCATCTTGACTATACTCTTCGAGTATATCTTTACATTGGCTGTCAAATTTTTCACATCCTCAATGCTCAATGTTAAGCAATTCAACGCGTCGTCCCTATGTTATTCAAACGTATATTGCGCCCAATCACTACTATAACCCTCACAAGATCTGATGACGATGAACTGCGCCATACTACTACGACTTACCTTTAAAAACTTATTGGTTCTCGATATTGGACCCAGCTTTACCAAAAGCTGACATTTAGCGATTTTATCACACCCGATAAATGTACTCTAAAAAATCACTGATATTTTTGATCAATGTCCCCAGATTTTAAGGCTGATTGATTGTTTTTAGCAGCATTTATCTTATCTGAATGAACTTTTAGAGGTAATTTCACTTTTTTTGTCAATCTCGGCAATAAATTCCCTATGCTGCTCTGCAGCTTTCATATTCCTTCTCGCAATCTCAAGACTATCGTCAACTTGTTGCAATAGCGGTATTTCTTCTGCCCTTCTTCTAATGGCTTAGAAAAAAAACAAGCGATTTTAATGTACCGCCAACAGTGTTAAAATCAGCATTAAATAACTTTTTTACAATTATCTGGCCATTACTTCTACACATATACCTTCTATATCCAATGTTAATCCACTTTAAAACTTGGCGGCATAGTAAAACTGGAGTAAACAAATTAAGAATTACCCGCCAACCATGAATAATGGTGATATTAAAATGCCCGACAACATGTTATCTTATTAAAAAAGGTATTCCAAAATTCATCTTCTTTACTTCATCCCTTTAGATACTTTAGAATACCGCATCAAGCCCATTTTACTTTTCTTTGTGAATTTATCTATTATTTGATCTAACTTACTCCCAGTGTTTTTTACAAGATGGAATGAAATCCTTAATGCATTCTTCTGGATTTTGCACTATACACATAACTCTAGCCTCGACTAAAATTATTCATAATAAATATACATTGGGGTATAATATATGTATTTAAAATGCAATACCTAAATTTAGGAATTTTGAAGCTATTTTATTTCTTTTTTTTTAACCTAGTGATAATCTTTTCTCTGCCTATGAAAATCAGTAATTTAGCAAGCTCTGGTCCAGCTTCTTTTCCTGTTAGTGCTAAACGTAATTGTATGAATAAATCTTTTGTCTTTATGTCTATTTTCTGTCGTATAGCCTTTACCCATTCTGATAATGTGTTTTTATCAAAGTTGCCTTGAGGTAACATATCTAATGCAATTTTTATAAATTCCTCGTTAAGAATAATAGGGTTAATATGAGACTTGCATATCTGCCACCACTCATTGACGCCAGAGAATCTATCTATATTACCTCTGATAAAATACCAAAATTCTGCAGAGTCCATGCCTATTTGATGCAAGCGCTCCTTCATGACATCAAACGACATTTTTTGTAAAACCTTACTGTTTAATTGATAAACTTTATTTAAGTTAAATTGTGTAGACGCTGAACTAAATTTTTCAATATTAAATGTGCCGATTAAAGATTGCGTGTTAATGTGAGCTTCAATCGAGTCTGAAGTTCCAAGCTTTGTTAGATAACTACTAAGCGCCATCGATTCAATGCCATCTTCTTTTATCGATCTTACGTTCAATCCACCAGATCTTTTAGATATTTTGTTATTATCAAAATGTAAAAGAGACAAATGAGCAA